TTTTCGTTCTTTTTTTTTTTTTTTTACGTATTTATCGCGCGATCATACGTATTTTTATCACGAGATCAATTCGACGACGAAACGAAGTCGGATTTGACGAGGAAGGAGGAAGGGGGAGAAGGGGGAGTGGCCAGGTAAGCTGTAGGAGTTTTGCGAATCGAGATAACGCGAACGAAAGATAGAACGGTTGGGATAAATAAATAAGTAAGAAAAAGAAAAAATAATAAAACAAATCCAGAGTCTCTCCGTTATCGCGATAATTGCTGGTTGGAATTAGGCAAAGGAGGGGATAAAAGATGGCGAGGGGATGCGAGATCCGCGCGATAGGAGAACGGGACCACGGAGGAGGAGAGGCTGGGAGGGGACGATAGGTTATCGAGGTTTTTTTAGATAGCGGATAGGAAAGAAACGGGATTGTTTCGAATACACACGATTCGACGACGAGAGTGTGTGCGTGTACGTGTGCGTGTTGGGCTTGCAGCGACGTTTACTGCCGAGGCGAGTTGCTGCACACGATACAGATGGCCTCGATCTACAAGGACTCGAAAACGTTCGTCGACATGAAGATGAAACAACCGCCTTACGAGACGTTGAAGTTGTTTCGAGAGTTCATGGATCGGCACGATCAGATGCCGACCAGGTACCAGATCGAGCGATTCGTCAACGATACGTTCGACCCGGAGGGATCCGAGTTCGAGGATTGGGATCCGGTCGATTGGACGTTCAGGCCCAAGTTTCTCTCCAAGATTCTCGACGACGATCTTCGAAACTTCGCCTCCGATTTGAACGGTATTTGGAAAATGTTGGGGCGAAAGATGAAGGACGATGTCCGCGTGAACGAGGAACTCTACTCGATTATTTACGTGCCGCATCCGGTCATCGTCCCCGGGGGCAGATTTCGCGAATTTTATTACTGGGACTCGTATTGGATCGTGAAAGGATTGCTTCTCTCGGAGATGTACAACACCGTGAGAGGAATGTTGACCAATTTCGTCTCCCTTGTGGACAAGATCGGTTTCATCCCGAACGGAGGCAGGATATACTACACTATGAGATCCCAACCGCCCATGTTGATTTCCATGGTCGACGAGTATCTGAAGGCCACTCACGATTACGAGTGGCTCGAGAACAATCTTTACCTCCTCGAGAAGGAGTTCGATTTTTGGATGACCAATCGAACGGTCGAGATCGAGGTGGACGGTGTCAATTACTTAATGTCCAGATACAACGAGGAGTCGTCCGGTCCTCGGCCGGAATCCTACAAGTAAGTAGTAACATAGACCGCGATTGTCCACGTTCCCCGTTGGTCTAATCGTTCAATTTCTATCGTTCAGAGAGGATTACCTCACCAGTCAAAGTTTTCGCACCAACGAAGAGAAGGACAATTATTACGCGGAGTTAAAAACGGCTGCCGAATCAGGTTGGGATTTTTCCAGCCGTTGGTTCATACTGGACGGCACGAACAAAGGTAATTCTTCTTTCTTCCTCCTCCTCCCCTCCCCCATCTTGGACTCGGTTCGAGCAAACTCGAAGCGATGTAATAATCGTGTCTTTCGCGACGTAATACGACGCGATTGTTAATAACCACGTTGATAAATGCTTCCTCTTTTTTCCTCTCTCTCTCTCTCTCTCTCTCTTCTCTCCTCTCTCTTCTCTCTCGCTCCTCTCTCTTCTCTCTTCTCTCCTCTCTCCCCTCCCCCCCCCCCTCTCTCCTCCCTCCTCTCTCGTCTCGCCGGGCTCCTCTCTCCTCTCTCCTCTCTCTTCTCCCCTCTCTGTTCTCTCTCGCTCCTCTCTCTTCGCTCTCGCTCTCGCTCCTCTCTCTTCTCTCTTCTCTCCTCTCTCCCCTCCCCCCCCCCCTCTCTCCTCCCTCCTCTCTCGTCTCGCCGGGCTCCTCTCTCCTCTCTCCTCTCTCTTCTCCCCTCTCTGTTCTCTCTCGCTCCTCTCTCTTCGCTCTCGCTCTCGCTCCTCTCTCTTCTCTCTTCTCTCCTCTCTCCCCTCCCCCCCCCCCTCTCTCCTCCCTCCTCTCTCGTCTCGCCGGGCTCCTCTCTCCTCTCTCCTCTCTCTTCTCCCCTCTCTGTTCTCTCTCGCTCCTCTCTCTTCGCTCTCGCTCTCGCTCCTCTCTCTTCTCTCTTCTCTCCTCTCTCCCCTCCCCCCCCCCCTCTCTCCTCCCTCCTCTCTCGTCTCGCCGGGCTCCTCTCTCCTCTCTCCTCTCTCTTCTCCCCTCTCTGTTCTCTCTCGCTCCTCTCTCTTCGCTCTCGCTCTCGCTCCTCTCTCTTCTCTCTTCTCTCCTCTCTCCCCTCCCCCCCCCCCTCTCTCCTCCCTCCTCTCTCGTCTCGCCGGGCTCCTCTCTCCTCTCTCCTCTCTCTTCTCTCTTCTCTCCTCTCTCCTCTCTCCTCTCTCTTCTCTCCTCTCTCTTCTCTCTCGCTCCTCTCTCTTCTCTCTCGCTCCTCTCTCTTCTCTCTCGCTCCTCTCTCTTCTCTCTCGCTCTCGCTCCTCTCTCTTCTCTCTCGCTCTCGCTCCTCTCTCTTCTCTCTTCTCTCTCGCTCCTCTCTCTTCTCTCTTCTCTCTCGCTCCTCTCTCTTCTCTCTTCTCTCTCGCACTCGCTCCTCTCTCTTCTCTCGCTCTCGCTCTCGCTCCTCTCTCTCGCTTTCGCTCTCGCTCCTCTCTCGTTCTCTATCTCTATCTCTATCTCTATCTCTATCTCTATCTCTCTTCGCTCTTTCCCTCTTCCCGTTCTTTCGATCCCCTTGGACGAGATCGCGTCTCTTTTCCCTCTCTCCTCCTCCTCCTCCTCCCTCATTCGAATATTCCAACTCTTGGACACCCCATCATCGATCCTATTCTTCTTCTTCAGGTAATCTGACCAACTTGAAAACGAGATACATTATCCCGGTCGATCTGAACTCGATAATATATCGGAACGCGGTGCTGCTGGCACAGTACAATCAGAGGATGGGAAACGATTCGAAGGTGGCGTATTACCAGAAAAGGGCGGCCGAATGGAAGAAGGCGATCACGGCGGTGCTGTGGCACGACGAGGTCGGCGCATGGCTCGACTACGACATAATGAACGACATAAAGAGGGATTACTTCTATCCGACCAACATCCTCCCCCTGTGGACCGATTGTTACGACATAGCCAAGAGGGAGGAGTACGTGTCCAAGGTGCTCAAGTATCTGGAGAAGAACAAGATAATGTTGAATCTTGGCGGTATACCGACCACGCTCGAGCACTCGGGCGAGCAATGGGATTATCCCAACGCTTGGCCACCACTTCAATATTTCGTGATCATGGCGTTGAACAAGACGGAGGACCCGTGGGCCCAGAGGCTCGCCTACGAGATAAGCGAGCGATGGGTTCGAAGCAACTACAAGGCGTACAACGAGACGCACAACATGTTCGAGAAGGTAATATTTATTGATGATGATTATACGGACGGATGTAATCCCGATACGTTGCCACGTTGCCGCTCGCCAACTCGGTTACGCTCCATCGTTTTTTCCCAGTA